CAGTTTTTTAAAGTTTTTTCGGCCAAAGAGAGGTCGAATCGAAATAAAAAGTATATATTCGTGATCAGCTTTTGAAGGGCTTTCAAACCATATATAAACGAACGAGAAAAAAAATTCACTCCAGTTTGGCATTACCGGCACCTTAACTATATATGACTTGTTTCATAGACAATAGATGTTTATATAGGTGAATTGCAATTTTATTGTACCATTTGGAGAAAAATGAGCGAAAAAATTTTTTGAATGTAGATATGCTGAATTGTACGTCTTATTATACTATATGAGAGGAGAACAAAGAAAAGCTTTTATTCCCACTACCACTATCAAGATGGCCGACATATGAAGGTTTTCAAAATACGTTAAAAATTCCCGAGGTTATGTTTAGAAAAAACTTTGTGGATGACACAATAAAAGTATGATATACCATTTGATAGATCTCAATGAGACAGGAACAATGGCAAGCATTGCATCCTCTATCGATGGACTTGGTGCCACTTGCAACTGAAAAACTTGGATTTTCAGTGCTAAAAAGGCTATTTTACATACAAACAAGTTCTAATAAATTATATAATAATAGTAATAAAGTTCCTAACCTATCAGGTACAGACGAGAAACAGCACATAGTGACGTTGATAGTACCTTTAACTAGGAATCAGTTGATATATAACAGGTTGGATTTAGATCTTCAATTTGAATACGTAAAAAATTAGCTTCTTTTGCGTAAAATTACAATATATTCTTCTGTCTATAGAGTGGTAGCGATCCTTATGTCGGAAACAACCAAATTGATGATCCTTTATGGAAACCTACTCGTGAGCGCAAACTTCATAATGAACATGATTATTGCATTCAGGGAGGCTCTAGAACAAGTAAGTGAAACTTGCTCATCATAATTCTACCGTAGTGGAACTTCTTGTACTCATGATCTTGGAAATGATACCATGAAGTCAAGATATTGGGAATAGAAATTTCAAGATCGTGAGTGAAGCAAGCTTAAGATGTTTCAGGATATTGAGTGAAAAACTTTTCTTACATTTTCTTTTGGTATATGATAGCCGTCAGGCATGCGATCATTTATTATCGGAAACTCTTCCTCGAATAGATATGTTCAAGAAAAAAAAAGTTGAAGTTATTTTAAGTATGAAAATATTCGCGTTTATATGCAGGCAAGAGTGTAAAAACACAATGGTGGTTCAAGAATTACCAAGATCTTGGGTACAAGACTGACTCACCCAAGATCTTGATTAAGGTCCTTCCAGGATTACTATATTTCCGTACCAAGAGCTGATGGAAAAATTCAAGAAGTTAAGATGTAGGTTACAAGAAGTTTCACTAGGTATACAAAGCTGTAATACGATTACAGGTACTCCTTTATGGTACATACTTAATGCAATGCACATGGTTACATTTCCTCTAAGACTTTTTGAACGAAGGTTCTTAGAAGTTTTTCCTACAAGGAGCTACTTTTGCAGTACGAACTTTCTTTTTGGGTAAAATAATTCTCCACTGGCTTCTACAGTTGCGAATAAATGAATGGCTCTGCTAAAAATACGATACTCAAGTCAACTGGCGCACTTCATTCGCAGTGTGAGCTCGCTGTGGTACCCGTGATCGCAATGGATTCGCGCCTGTCTCCCTACGAACATGCTGGTTACCAAGACTCACGTCGTAAGCGTAAGAGCGCGCCCACGATTAATAGGGAGTCTTACCACGACTATAAGAGCCTGACCAAGAGTGACCACAATTATAGATGCGATCAGTGGCTAATACCGAAAACCCTGCGATCGCTAATCGCGACTCTTATATAGCGAATCTTAGCATATTCGTGGGACAAGATCTTGACAAGCCATTCAGCACGACTCTCGCTGCGATTTTAGCGGGAAAGTTGACTTGGGTGCTTTCTTTAGAACAAAAATTCAGTTTGAAGCGGAAACACGGTCTGGATAGAACAATCAACGAAACCGAAATGGAAAATGTGAATAACATGGAGCATAGATCATCTGATATCGAAAAACAAGATGATGCAGTGATTTGTGACACTATGACTATTTCAACTACACATCGTTATCCAATCCGTGATCGAAATAAATTATCTCTGCAAATAACATCAACGTTGGATCATAATTGTGACGGTTATAATAATTTTAACAATTAGTTGATGAAACAGATATGTTCTGGATCAATAATTCGTGCCCAGTTTGCTTATGAACATTTGTTAACAGTTACTGGTCGTCATGATATCAGTTTTGAAAAATTTAAAGATTACATTGTTACGCATAATACCAATTTAATCAAAATATATTCTCGTCGAAATCAAGGGACTTATATTATAATGTCAACCCCTGAGCAGTATGGTGATCTGGTGATAAAGAAAAATGAAAGTTTTGACGATATCTTAACGTTTGTTACACATGATAACAATACAGCATTATTCAAATAAATACAAGTACCACCAAACATAGCAATGACAAAAAGTTGTCCCTTTTATCAGCTGGCGAAAATAATTCGCGAAAATATGGATTTAGTATTAAAAAAGAAACTTGTTATCAGTCCCTTTGATTTGATGACACTGGATGCTGAAAGTTATGTTAAACAAATACCGTCAGCGTTACGTAAGGCTCAAAACTCACTTGAATTGACAATAAGTTCTTTGTCCACTGCGGCCCCCTAAGACTGAAATTTATACCATATATAGATTAATCGCCCCACGTGGACGATTAGTATTTTATTTTGAAGAATACTATTCTATTCTCCCTGCCTGTATTATAAAAAATACTACTTTTTAACTCAACACAAGAAAAAATTTCACAAATTAAAAAAATAGTAAATCTTTGAGGTCCGAGCGACAGTAGTCAAAAAGCTATACTCCTTCGCGGAATAATGGTTTAGATCTTGATAACTTTCATTCTGTCAAAGAGGCTACATTGTATATGTAAACACGCCAAGCTAAAAGCCAAAACAGATTTCATTTGCGCGATCGAAAAGGAATCTTTAAAAAAGTCTGCCTTCGTAATAGATTTGTACCTGAAGGGAAAGAATACTTTGTAGCTCCACCTAAGGTTTTGACATAGATTGCAATTTTCCGTTCTCACCTTTCCAACTTGAATTTCCAGAAGTTTTTCTCGAAACTGGCCGTTCCACTGTCGATACTTCAACTCAGTTTGTGCCTCGTCTTCATTCACCATCAACAGCTGAGGAACTCGAGTTTTGAAGAGTTTACCATTGAAATCTTCCAAGAAGAACTCACACCAAGATCCGACTAACGCCATGAGTGATAGACTCATTTTCCTCCTTTGTCACATGACCAAAATCAGACGAATTCCTTGTTAAGAGATCGAATCTTTCCACCACTAACTGGCATCGATCTTCTTTCTTTCATTCATTATAGCACCTCGTCCGCTCGTGTTTCACAAACTATTTACGCACCTCCAAAACTCATGATGCCTTAAGGTGCCCTGCGCTCGGTTTCTGATTTGCATGGGCACCTTTATCTTCATAATTAAAAAAGGATGCGATTGAAAAGGGGGGAGAAGAAAACGGAAACCGGGTTTACTATCAACGAACCATCGGTTGTACCAGAAGTATCAGGTGCCGACCGGTTAATACCAGCGGTTAAATCGACTGTTCACCACCGGTAGCCGAGCGGTTAACCGGTGGTTTTCAGCTGGTTATTGACACATGGGAGATCTCTTGATCGACTAAACGATGTCAATGAAAAACTCGTGCGAGTGTTAACGTGAACAATGGACGAGCGAGTAAGAGACGAGATTGAGACATATGAAAAGATCCTCTGAAAGTCAAAACTTGTTAAGCTGCTCGCTCGATTCCCACATGTCACTCCATCACTCAGATTCGTTGTTGACCTCTCTCACGAGTCAGACGACGATCGTCTCCACAAGGTGAAAATCTCGGAAACAGCAAATGAGAACTTCCTGATCGCGATAAACAATTTTCTTAATTACATTCCGATGATGATTCTATTAGAGAGTCGTTCGTTGTTCGTCGTGTTCGGACGAAGACGAGAATGTTCTTCAAAGCTGATTCTCTCTGTTTCGTTCTCATCACAGACCATGACCGACAGGGTCAAAGGTCATAGAGTACAAGTCGTTATAAACCATCACAGACCGTAACCGACAGTGGTCCAACAGCACCATAGAGCGTCACAGACCGTGACCGACTGAGGCGAAAAAGCTTATGAAGCATTACAGACCGTGACCGACAACATCACAGATCGTGACAGACAGACTCCATGACCCCATCACAGACCGTGACCAACATGTTAATTACTTAATTAACTAGTGTCTAACTAATTACCCATACCCATACTAATTACCCAACTCGTAAAATATGATCAGGAACCAACCCTGATTCTAACCACATGCAAATAAACCAAATTGAAGAGGGGCCGCAAAACGGTCTTATTCGCCCTCCTCCTTTCACGTTATGTTTTTACAGATATGTTAAAAACTGGTAGGTTTGAGAATTTCATTTGTAATTAATCATTTTGTATATCTATTATAGACACATTTATATAAAATAAAACTTTAATGAATCTGGAATGAAACTATAAAAACCTCATGTAAAACGTCTGAACAGTTAACGAAATATTCACGTTTTTTTTTCAATCGGACTTTTGGAACACCCTGTATATCTGGTAAAAAATTTGTATTTCAGACATTCTTTTCATCAAAAAAGAATTTGGGTATATTCGAAGTCGTCAACATGGTCTAACAGTGTTTGACATTTTTTGCAGCAGCGCATGTTATGTTGATCTCGAAAGTCGAAAATCATCTGGAAAACCGTTTCTCGATCGATATACTCGAAAATCATCTCAGGCTACTTCACTTTGCTTCAATCTACTTCACGGCTGCTTCAAGCGATTTCAATCTACTTCAGCGCTATTTCAATCTACTTCAAAGTAGCTGAAGTAGCGTTTTTCCTCTTGGGTTCTGAAAGACATTATGTACGCACATGACAACTTGAGATTTTAGTATACATACATATGGGTACTTGAGCTCCGACAGTCGAAAAGAGCAGAACCATGACAATGCTGATTGCGAACATGATTATTACTTGAAAGCGAAAAATTAACACGACAATGCCTGTAGTGAGATCTGCTTTTATATTCGTGTATCGGTCGATTATGGGAGCCGAGAACAGATGATACAGAGTATTATTTTTTCATCAAAACATGGAATCATAGATAAGATATTTATTTTTAAAACACCATTTTCTTGTGGGCGATGAAAAGAAAAGAATCAGTGCTAAGTCAAGTTATCATCCGACGAGATTCTATGAGAAACTACGATACAAACACATCTGGGCGGCTCGATACAGTCAAGTCGAAAATTGTTGATTCTAAAATCCTAGAAAAATAAATGAAATCTATAATAATTAAAAAAAAGGAATGTTTTACGAAATAATCCCAATTTGACTTATTTTTTTGAGTGAAAAGTGCAGCGTTCTACCAAAGTCTTCACGTCAGAACAACCTTTACATGTTGACATACACATCGAGGTGTGCGAGAAAAGCTGTTAGCCATTGAATCTCAGGTTTCGTGAATGATATCATATAGGTCTTGGTGCAAAACATCGAATGGAAGAATGTCGAAAGGGAAAAACATCGAAAAAAAACTAGAAAAGGAAAATGTCGAAAGGCGAACGTCGAAAAACGCTCCTCCCCCACACACCACCAGAAATGCCTAATATGCATAAAGAAAAATTCACGGAAGGGCCGGGATCCTGTTTACGGAAGAGTCAGTTCGCGGAATAGCCATGTCACGATTCGGTTTCAATTAACTTTTTTCCATGTCACATGAAAACATAAAATATTATTGAAATGTATATATAAAATATTATTTAATTTAAATTTTCGTTCCCCAAACGTTGGAGCCGGATAGTGCAGACAACCGATAGAGAGCACCACTTTAAAAACAAACTGTAAAACGATGAGTTATCGAATCGTCATCATCGACTATTATATGAAAACATAAAATGTATTTAAAATACTGTGTTGTACTTCTACCTTCGATAAAATGTATTATCAGTTTAGACAGACGACTACGGGTTTTAATAACATAAAGCGCCAAAAAACAAGCTTTTAATCAGCGTGACAGGCTTCATTTAAGCGCTACAGGCACCTTTTCAACTTTTCGACATTTTTCCTTTCTACGTTTTCCCCTTCTATATTTTCCCTCTTTTTTTCGATGTTTTTCTTTTCGGTATTTTTCCATTCGACGTTGTCCGTCAACCCCATCATATACATGTTAAAACAACACAGTGATTTATTTAATATTATTATATCAGCACAGCAAATACAATTCCAAGTCACGATGTCTGGATGTGCACCCGGTCAGTTTAGAGAGTTCCGCTCACTGATTCATAGCAAAATTTTCTGCATTTTATTTTACTACACACGTTTATTTGCTTTGTCTGTTCTTTAGCTAACCATGATGCCGCTGGCAATGTTTTCATATGAAAAGTATAAACTTTTGTCAGGCTCAGAGATACACCTTCATTTATAAATCAAACATCTTAGGATTCATTCTACTTAGACTTAACATAAAAACTAGATCAAGGAAATTTAGAAGAAAAAAAATCTTTTATTCTTGCTTTTAAGCGTTTTTTTTTTTAGTAGTAGACAAACAAGAAAAAGAATATAAAGAAAACATATACAACAAGAAATATGAGGAGAACAGAAAAAACCTAACTTTATTACAACAATGTTTATCAAGACTTTGCGTACTTCTTTTATAGTGGATAAAACCAATGTTTTTGTCAGAAAAGTTACATAGGTTTTTGGAAGGGTACAGTTTGGTGCATAAAATAAGATGTTCGCCATGTTTGCACGACGAATCATTCAAAAGTTATAAGAAGAACAAAAAGTATGAAAACGGTAACGCACTCACCCTTCCGGTAGCAGAGTTAGCTGGACAGGCCGAATAGCAATGTGTAAAAGCGTTTCATTTGACTTCAAACTCTTATAATACTTTGATAAAGTTTTTTAAAGACAAAAGCGACAGAAAATTAAATGTGCTATTAAAGGAAATGATGCGTAAACTACTTAACCCAGAGTGAGTTCGAAAAAAAAATCATTTGCGGGCGAGTCGTTAGAGGAAAAATAAGTGGTTGTAAAAAAAAAAATATTACACCC